TCACATACGACCGCGCCGACATGGTGTTCGCCCCCTACGGGCCAGAGACAGATCCAGAAATAAAAAGTTGGGGGACTAAACATATCGAGTACATCGGTATAAACACATCATCTCAATATTAAACTATGCTAAAATGCTATTAACACATCCTATTTTACCAATCTTGGCAAAAAAAAATTGAAGGGGGTATCCATGAGTTTTGTAGGTGTAGGGGGGACTTCTTGCACCCACGTTGGATCCGCCCCTGCTACGGGCCCTTGTGGCGCCAGCTGCGGAAGCTGTGCATCAACAGGCTCTTCAACCGGCGCCGGGCCGCGTCGTGGGCAGCTGTCCACGACGGGGTCGATAGCCTCCTGCGGGAGGTGACCAAGAACAGCGGCGCGGTGGTCAACGTCGGCGAGCTCGTGTTCGGCATGTCGATGAAAATCACTCTCCGGCTTCGACTGGAGCTTGCGGGAGGTGTCCCGGGCATGCAGCTGGGGATGCTCGCGGTGGAGCTAGCACTGGCCAGGCTGCTCCACGGCTTCGACTGGAGCTTGCCCGGCGGGACGGGGTCGGCCGGCGAGCTCGACATGGAGGAGACATATGGGCTCACCGCGCCGCGAGCAGTGCGGCTGTCCGCCGTACCGGTGCCGCGGCTAAGCCATCTCTAAGCTGCGTACGATCTCGATCGACCGCGCTCTACATGCCGATCTGATGACTGAGGAGACACGTCACACGTACAATAGCTGGATCTGTAAAAAGCTTAAAGCTGTTGTCAACACGTACGGCGCTGTTTGTGTATCACTTGGTACACGAAAATACTCGCGCCTCGATCGTACACATGGAATAAATGACCAGAAATAAAATAAAAACGAAACATCGTCTTTACACAATCACAAGCTCATAGCTGCCAATTGAGCGGTAGCTAGCTAGATCCAATTCCAAGGTTCGGCGACCCTGCCCAGCTAGCCAGGCAGCTAGCTAGCTAGCTACTCGCCGGCACACGGCAGATGGGCGAGCACGAGCTGCATGCGCGACCCGCGCCTGATGATGTCGAGAGCTAGTGGTGCTGATCCTGAAGAATCCATAACATAGCGATCTCCCTCATGAAGTCACGGTTTGTGCAAAGATTGGCCGGCGGCCATGGACACCGCCCACAGGCCCACTGGTCGCGCGCCCTAACCCCTGCGCGATCAGGCTCCTACTACTAGTCCATTAGTACTACTACTAGTCTACTAGCACTACTACTATTAGTCTATTACTATAACAGTACTACTACATGTATATATACGTATGTATATATTTTATATATACACATAGAAACTTTGTATTTTTATGTATCAATATAAAATTTCTATGTATGTATGTAAAATATATACATACATATATATAATTTTTTTATGTATCAACAAATTGACGTATAAAAAATATACACGTATATAAACTTTGCATACGCATATACAAACTTTACATACGTGTATATAAACTTCCGTTTTTTTTTGACAAATAGTCCTTTTGAAAAACTTATTTTGAAACTAACCCTCGCAAAAAACTTCAACCAAAAATAGATCATGAGCTCAACACCAATGTCAATGGCGCTGAGGTCCAAAGGGTCAACGCCACATCCGTTGGCGCTGAACCCGTGGCCACGTGGATCCGAAGCTGATCTATTTGTCGATGTGGCATGAGGTCAACGCCAACTCTATTGTAGCATGGTGGTGTGGCCTCTGTGCATGCAAGCTTGAGGTAACAAGTTTGACTCCCTTGAGCAGCATAAATTATCTATTTTTATTGCAACTTTTTTACCGTCATTTTCTTCCGGACCGATATACTTCAAAAATAAATATAATACTTCCATTATCTTTCTTCCCACGTTACTATTTCCGACATATATACTCCAATGGTACATTCAAATATGTAGTATACTTCTTCTTTTTTACCGTCCTTTTCTTCCGGACCGATATACTTCAAAAATAAATATAATACTTCCATTATCTTTCTTCCCACGTTACTATTTCCGACATATATACTCCAATGGTACCTTCAAATATGTAGTATACTTCTTACCGTCCTTTTCTTCTGGACCAATACTTCAAAAATAAATATAATACTTCCATCATTTTTTCCCACGTTACTATTTCTAACATATATACTCCAATGGTACATTCAAATATATACTCCCTTCATTCCAAAATATAAGTCACAACCACCCTTAATTCAAATACCAAGAAATAATTGTTATCATATCATAGTTTAGATTATCCTAATAAATAAAATGTATGCACCCAATAAAATTAGATATCTTAATGGTGGATGATTTAAATAATAATATTTTAGTGAAAAAGAGGTGCTAATTAATGATATGTATGCATGCACGCCTTATATTAGTATACTTCCGTTCTTTTTTCTCATATTATTATCTCCTTTTTCTTACAGTATTATTTCGGAATGTAGGGGAAGTGCCGGAAGAAAAGAACAAAAAAAAAGATTTGCTAGCAGGACAAAAGTACGGTAAACTAGTCGAACCTGCTACCTCTTGCTTGCATGCACAGAGGGCACACCACCGCGCTACATTAGCATTGATGATTGTTTAGAGTTAGCGCTGGGTTATGAGTTCAGCGCCAATAGAGTTAGCGCTGACCTCGCGCCACGTCAGAATGCAGAACGGCTTCGGATCCACGTGGCCACGGGTTCAACGCCAACGAATGTGGCGCTGATCCCTTGGACCTTAGCGCCATTAACATTGGCGTTGAGCCCACGACCTATTTTTGGTTGAAGTTTTTTACGAGGGTTAGTTTCAAAATAAGTTTTCAAAAGGACTAATTTGTCAAAAAAAAAACGGTACAAACTTTGTATATGTACATATTAAAACCCGAGAGAAAAAAATCACGAATACAAACTTTGTATACGTGCGAATACAAAATTTAGTATACATACGAATATAAACTTTGCAAACATATATCTTTAAAAACACAAAAAAAAAGAGAAACCGAAAGAAAACCGGAAAAAACCAAACAGAAACAGAAAAAAAACCGGAAAAATCGATAGTCTCCCTGCGCGTGCCGTCCGCGCCCCCTCTCCGCGCGCGACACGTGTCCAGTCGCGCACGGGAGGGCGCGCGTGAGTGACCGCCGATTAGCCCTTTCGGAGCCTGAGAGCCATGCTGCGTGCTCGACGTCGGTGTGATACCATTATAGGCCGCGCGTAGCTCACGATACTATTCCGGCCCAACTAGTACAGCTCGAACAGGCCCAACCAATATAAACTTTCCTATATGGACCGCACGATGCTCACAATCCCGTTCCGGCCCAATCATTCGTCTCATGTTGGGTGGTAACGGGACAGGGACCATGTCCATGGGTTCTTTAACACGGGACACCTATCTCAACTCTTAAATATTTTTAGCTCAAAAGTCTATTGAATCTCACTATAGCATTTTTTTAAACCTATCCCCTTACATTTTATATGCTAAAATATTGGATCCATTATCATCCTATATTACTCAAGTGTACTCCTTCCGTCTTAAAAAACCAACATAATGTTGGAGATGACATTACTAGAAAATATCACATCCATTACTATGTTAGTTTTTTATGGGATAGATGGAGTAGGCTTGATCTTTCCTGTGGCAACGCTCCGTGATTATACAAGCTCTTCTTTAAACCATGGAGATGCTCTCGCCATAAGTAAATTCATCTATATATGGACTACTATAAAACTGTAAAAGCAGTACAAATGGGACCAAAGGATACAAATGGAAACAATGGACAACTAGACTAATTGGAAGCTAGCTGGCCTGCTTAATTACATCAGTCTAAAGAAGTCAATCAAGCCATCGTAATGGCCCCTGATTGCTATAGGTAGCCTTTGACGCACCAACTTGACAGCATCATCACGGTTACCATTTTTCCGGGGTGATCTGTTTGCAATAAGCATATATACTAGAATACGGTTTGGTTGCCACTACGATCGATGGCTGGGACGCGATACTAGATTTCGGGTCTAAGTGTTGCTTGATCTGGTGTGTTTTGTTTGAGCTCATTCGGAAAGTGGCAAGTTGCGTTGGAAGGACTTCTCTGCTTTCACTGGATACCGTCGGTGAGCTAAGGCACTAGGGACCGGAAGCCGCCGGATCAGGATTGAATAGATTTGGCTGAAGGTAGAAGTAGTGCAAAGGAGTCTGTTAGAGGTGAATGCAACACCAATTTTTTAGATAATGAATTTTCATTAATCCGGCCTCTATATTCACGAAGGATATACACAGCTAAAAATATACAAGAGCACTTAGACTCACATCTCAAGAGAGAACACAAAACTAAAAGAAAAGGAAAAACCAACTACCCTGACACATCCTTGCTTTCCGACATCATCTCCTAAAACAACGAGATTCGGCGAGTGGAAGTTGTCTAGTCGTCAACGCTCCTAGTGCATCATCGTTGCGAGCCTCCGTTGATGCCATCTTCATTCGCTTCATATGAGTTGATGCCAAACGTCGCCTGGTTTAGCCCACTTTCATCCGTCGTCCCAGCCAAAACAAGCCAACCAAATGCGGGCCGGCAAGATCCATTTCCGCTTCGCTGAATTCCTAGGCCTCTGCCGCCCCTAGGGCCGCCACCGTCTTCGGGATCCTCCTCCACCTCCTGGACTCCCAGCTCGTCGCCGCCCCAAGGGCCGTCGTCGGAGACCTCTGCAGCTGCCGTTGAGGAAAATCTCTTCCACCCGGACTCCCAGGCATCTGCCGCCCCTAGGGCAGCCACCGCCAACGGGATCCGCCTCCTCACTGCGAACCTTGCACCGGCACTCAGGCCGCCACCGTCTCGGTTCGATCGCTACCCCTAGGGCAGCCGTCGCCGCCGGAGAAGTCTTCCGCCCGGACTCCCAGGCGCTTTTGCTAGACATCGCTGCGAACGATACCACCTCCACCCAATCCCGCCGTCTCCTTGCCAAGGATACGGCGGCGACGCTTAGGCCACCGCCGTTGACTCCAGAACACCTCAGCTGTCGCCCTTAACAATCACATGGCTAGATCTAGGCATAAAGGTCACACCAGTAAGCCGCTGCCCCTAGGACCACCACTGCCGGTGAGCATACCTTTGTCCTTCGTCGCCATCTTCACCATCGCGACGAAGGGGACAGGCCACACGCAGAGGAATCCGCCGTGGCGCTGCCAACTGCCTAGCAGCGGCATGCCACCTGCCGTCCCCTACTACCCTGAGGCCATCGCCACTCCCCCGCTGACGCCGTCCATCTGCCGCTTCCATCACCACCGCGCCGCCCCACCAGAAGGAGCCAACACCACCGCTTCACCAGCCATAGCCAGCGCCACCGGCCCACCGCCCACCTCCAACAGCGTTGCCGCCACTCTGCCACTAGGAGAGTGAGTCGCGAGTTCCGCTTCAACCGGACGCCGTCCTCACCGGAGCAGCCGACCTGCCGACGCCACGCCCGAAGCCTAGCCGCCGCTCCTGCCCGCCCGCAAGAAGCGGCCATAGAGGGCTGCCGAGAGCTGAAAGGAACCCCGCCGCCGCCATCCTTGCACCCACGTGGAACTCCAGCGGTGTGCTCAGGCAGCGGCGAGCTAGTGGGAAGGAGTCGAGGGTTCAGGGGAGTCGTAGGGGCGATGAGACTAGAGCTGCAGGGCTAGATGGTTCTCCTCTTCGAATATCATCGAAAACTCGAATGCAACACAAATAAGGACTGCAGAAGTTTGGGCTGCGTATTAAGACTGACTGAATGCAGGTTTTTGATGTGGCGAGACTCATCAGGAAGCATAGATTCGAAGCTCAGTCTTCAAGTTCTGTTCTTATTTTCATCGTCATTTCTTATTTATAAGAGTCGATATAAAAATTGAAGATGATTTTACTGGTATTTTAGTACGTCATCCGTGTATAAATCGGTTTTTAAGTCCGTTCGCTTTTGAAAATACAAATCCGGTTTCGGTTTTTAAGTTCGTTCGCTTTTAGAAATACATAAGAAATCGTATAAGAAATCACTTTAAAAACTCACATACTAATTTGAGACGATCGGACATCTAATTGCAGCTTATGATTTTCTAACAAAAATATATATCTAAGCGAATTTAACACAGTGAATTTCATCTTAACTAAATAATATAATAATAATAAATTAAAATAGTCTTCACCCGTTGCAACGCATGAATATTTTTTTTAGTGAGAGTCGAAATCTAAACATTCATGTAACTTTTGGTTGTGTGGATATAGAAGTCCGATTTTTTTTTAGCGGGGATAGAAGTCCGATTTGTTTGTTGGAAATTTAAAGTTTCCACCAAAAGATGGCCTTTTCGTGTTGTTCTTGGTGTTCGCGGTTTTCCTCTCTCTTTCTGAAAAAAATACAGGTAGCAACTTCGAGCGAACCAAAATTCAGGCAGTGCAAACACTTCATCGACCAGTTTCAACAAACATTTGAACTGACGAGCAGACCTGAAAAATTACAAATTCTGAACTTTGCATTTTGAATATGCAGACATTTTTAATCATGTTGTACCGGTGGAAAAATTACAAACATTATTGCTGATGTACTGTTGCGTATGCGAACGATTCCTGTTACTAAAAGAACTTGAGCACAAAACGATTCCCGCTTATCCTCCAGTTTATTCCACTCGAGCGGTCGAGCCTGTCTGGAACCACAAAAAATCCGTAAATTTTTTACTCCAAGTTACAGTATTACACTGTACCATAATAATAAGATAAAAAAAGGGCAATGCTTCCATAAATATACTGCGTGATAGCTGAATTCGGTCAGGAAACCATTAAATTTCAGTCATTCATTGACCCCCACATATGGCGCCACCAATAAATCGCGAGCGTCCATAGGCGCAAGATGAGAGGAGCCCTCCAAATTCCCAAGGCGGGCCTCGAGTCGAGCCCAAACCCCTTCGCCGCCCCGCCATGCAGTTCCCCTTCGCCGCCGGCGATTACCCCGCCGACCAGGTCGACCCCGACTACCTCTACTTCCTCCGCCACATCCGCCCCGATGGCGACTCCTACACCCTCGAGCTCCCCTCCGATGGCGTCTCCCCTCCTTCCCTCGTGAAGTACGAGGCCCCCGCCGACACCGGCAGCACCGACGGCGAGTGCGTCTCCGATCCCTCCCCTGGCCGCGCCAGCACCAACCGCCCGCCGGAGGAGAAGGAGTCGTCGGTGGAGGTGGACGCCGAGCCTCCTGCCCCCTCCTGGATCGACTCCCTCGTCGACATCGACGAGGACTACCGCCTCTTCCTCAAGCACACGCGCGTGGTGAACGACAACATGGTGCTCGAGATTGACGGCGCCGTCGTCACCTACCCGTGCGCCGCGTCCTCCGAGAGCAGCAGCGAGGTCGAGGATGCGCGGGAGAAAGAGGTGGCCATGGATTCAGACGAGCCGGTGGTAATTCTTCCGGACCCAAAAGTATGCGACTGGGTGGCGGTGGGTGACGCATCCGTGCGAACATTAGATAGTAAGAAGAAGAGGAAGATGAGTTCAAGCAATTCCAATAATGCCGGCCCTTCCATCCCCCCGGTGAGAATTTTTTATACATCTCCAATCGTTGTTACCTGTGGCACTGTTGTTTCTTTGAATTGAGCAGCGTATACACGTTTTCAGTCCAGAAATAGTTCTCTGTTTTTCGCCTAATAGAATATACGCAAAAGAAGATGATAGTAGTCTTCGATATTTCAGTACGATTCAACAAAAGGCCTGTTGATGGACATGTATGAATAAGCTGATACTGTATTGTACCAACCAGAACACTATTCTCTAGCAAATTCACGCTGAACATCCCCTCCACTTTATGGGCCAATTTGCCTATTACCACCGCAAAAATCACTGAGTTGAAAAATACCATCGGATGTGTCATTGACACGAGAGGGTCCAGGCTCACATATCTTTGTGATGATATTTCTCAAATTTTCCCCTACTTGAATTATGGAACAGTAACAGTAACACCCATATGGACTCTTCAAAGAAGAATTAGTCTCAAATACTAAGGTTATGTAATGTACATGCTAAAGTATTTCATTGTTCTCCAATTGATCTGGCAATTTTGCATTTATCTCACAAACAATAAAATCTACTATAAGGGTTTTTTCTCCTCTTGTTTACATGATGCACTTCTCTTATTACTTAAAAATATTATAATATGCAGGGGTCACAAGGTGTTATATGGCCGGCACATATCAACAGTAGACCGGATTCAGATTTCAAGCAGAGGTTATTGGATGCTCTCAGCAAACCATTTAGTCGAAAAGAATATATTAAGCTATTTGACATGGCTTCTATTCGTACACCATTAGTAAAATTACGGCAGGTGCGCAATGATGTAAAGTTCTACCCTACACAGGAAATGGGAAATTCATACTTTGATCATTACCCAGGTATGCCTGTGTATCGTGCACATATATTGTTTTACATGTGTTGTTTGTTCTTTGGTTATTCTGTTGTGTATTGCATTTTTCCTCAGAATTATATTTATGGTCATTGTAACTGGGTAAAGTTAAATCCATGGATAATCTTAATATTCTGTTACAGACTGTTAACCATTTGCACTTTGTGAATATATGTTGACCATAATTTATGGTTACATGTGTTCATAGTTTTCTCGCTCAAACATTGCAAGTTAAGTATAGTTTGTTATAACCCTTTGTTTGTTATAACCTTACAAATTAACCCTTTGTTCAGTTGTTTGTTATAACCTTACAAATTTGTTCTTAAGATGTTACATTCATGACCAATTAGTATACAGTCAAAATAGCTTATTGATGTTAGTTTTGTTCAACTGTTTGTTATAAGTTTACAAATTTCTTCTTAAGATGTTACATTCATGACCAATTAGTATACAGTCAAAATAGCTTATTGATGTGTTGGTTTAATCTCTGGAGTGTAGTTGTAGGCATAGGATCTTAGAACAACATTTTGATGTACTTAATTTTGCAAATAAGCTTGTAGGACTAATGGTTCCGAAAGGAAAAAGTGAGTGCAAGGCCAGAAGAAAACATGCCATGTTATTTTGAACAATTGCCACTGCATTAGTTTTACTAGAGTGTTGAACCTCCAAGTCTCAGTATTAAAGTATTTCTGTGCCCAAGATATCTACAGATATGGGAGCACTTTGATTGATGTTTTTTAAAACCACCAGCGGCAGTGTATGGACAGTGTCAGCTTATCAATTGGTTTGCTTAAACTTTGAGCTTATATGCAGAGATCCATACCAAGATCAAAACTAGATATTAAGAAAGTGATAGTTTTATTTTTCTTGAGAAGCTTTCTTTTATCTTCAACAGATCACTTAGCTTTCTTTGTTGTTGCTTATAAACACCATTGCCACTTTTAAATTTGACTATAAACTAGTAGCATAGCGTATTGCTGGCTGATTTACATAATGTATCTGTTGGCAGTTCTACATGGTTATTGCACTAACAAATGTCTTTTTTGTTTATTTAACTTTAGATCTCGTTGACCAAGTTATGCACACTAGCTTTCCAAATGGTTTAGCTCTGATGCGTGGGTTTTTCTTCTGGTTGCAGGTAACCTCATTAATATTGCTTTGGTTTCTTAATAAATAAACAGTGTAGGAATTACCTGCTTTCATGATTCTAGTTTGTACTTGCCACCATCTCTTTCTTATGCACAAGACTTACCTAACCATCAAAATCTTTTAGTCCCTCCACATAGAACTATTGCTAGAGCAAATGTGTTCTTTCGATAACTTATAGATGTTTTTTTTCTAAGTCGGAATAGATGGTTCATTTGCTGCTCAATATACAGTTCATTTTAAGATCAGTCTAGGTGAGCCTGATATAAGTAGCAGCGTAAACAGTTTATTTGCAGCATTACTGAATAGTACTATTTTCTTACTGCGTGGAATTGTACTCTGCAGTTTAGTACAACACAACTACCTAAGTAGCATGATGACATTAGTACTTAATGCAGCGATGGCATTTTTCTAAAAAAAGATTGAGATGCAGTTTTGTAATTGGCAATTTTTGAATTGTATGACACTCTTTTGCAGAATAATGCACATGAAGATCAATTCAGGCCATGGGTTGATGTTTCTAAAGACCACGAGGTTATTCCTTTGATCGATTGAGATTTACACATTGCAGCTGGTCAAACCCTCAAGTCCAAAACATTAAACATCTATTTGCGGGAATGACTCTCTTAAGGGTGACGTAATGTCATCAGCAGAGATTGTCTCGTATCTATATGGAATGAGATAAATAAATATATTGCCAATGATCGAGAAATAATTCCCTATTGGAATATGCGCACATCCTCTTTGCAAATAATTTAACATTGAGTTTTGCCTGTGAATTTGAGGGCTGGATTCCATGTTCTACCTGATCTCACCATCATAAAGCAATAAAGCAGTGGTGTTATTTCAATGTGATTGGATTACCTGAAGTATCGACATTTTCACACCGCTAATACTCAGCAAAAACCATAGAACGGAAATGCCATGAAACTAGAGTGCTAGACCCTTCCTTAGTCTTCACGACAGGGTAATACCCTCAGTTTGCTCAGCTTCTCTTTATGTAACCATGTTGGAGTCGACAAAATTATTATCGACTGTGAATGTTCTGCTTTTGTATGAACCCGATTTGAGTTCGGAAATACCCTAGCTCATGGCTCTTCTGGAAGAGCAAAATATACATTGGGCATCTTTGAACGGGAAAATCATTGATAGTTACATGCTTTCTCTTTAGGGTACAACACGCATTCTATTTTACATCTGGGATCTGGCTGCTGTTGAATTTGATCCTTGGTTTGCCCATGCTGAAATTGAGGACTCTAGACATCATGTTGTACTTTATCTCCCCATCGTATAGCAGTTTGCGGATGAAGTGCTCAAGATCAGATCCGATCAAACGAAGCGTGTACTCTGACAGCTCCGCGCCCTGTAAATTCAATCCAGGTCAGTTAAGCAGGTACTACCAATTAAGCTCTTACAACTAACATTTCCACCTGGAGAAAGAGACCATGGGTGTACACTACTGCTACCCTGCATTTGCAATTGCCAATTCTGCCTATGAGTTACGGTGCGTAGTATACCTCGTAGTGATCGACGAGGTCCTGGAACTCGTCGTAGACCTTCTGGCACGTCTCGTCGGTCCAGACGAACTCGTCGGTGGGGTCGAGGAGGAGGGTGAGCTTGTCCATCTGCGTCTGGTCGAAGGCGTTGGTCTCCGGGTTGATGTACGCGGCGTAGATGCGGATGTGCCGCGTCGTGCAACTCAGCCACTGCCCGCCGTACTCCCGGCTCATGTTCTTGCTCTCCGCCAGCGGCTGCACCGGCAGCGGCTGCGCCGGCCCCTGCCTCCTCGTCTTCCGCTCCCGCCTCTGCTCCTCCTCCTGCGGCGGCGGCGGCAGGTTTTCCACCGCCGCCTCCTCCTCCTCCTCTTTCACCTGCTGCTGCTGATCTTGGGCTCGCACCGGCGGGAACCTGACGCTTCGTCGCGCCGTCCACGTCGCGCGCGGGAGCCGGCGCTCGAGCGACAGCTTGGCCGGGGACAGGAACGGGGACGCCGTGGTTGCCATGCTGCGCGCAGCTGTTTCGCTTGGCTTTGGCTTGGCTTGTGTTTGTGTTGCGTGGGTGGTGGTGGTTTTTTTAGGTTTGCTGCGCCTGCGCGCGCGCGGCTAAGCTGCCGTGCCGTGCCGCCTTGGAGCCACTGGCTGTGTGTGGCTTGTGTGGATAAGGGCTATTTCTGGCACTGGGTTTCAGCGACTCGTACATGTTCTGGGCCAATTGACCACACAAATGTATTGGGCTGTGGACGTTGGCACGGCCTGTTGCATTGCATGACAGAGCTGAGCAGCACGCGCTCTCGTGTGGTATGGATAAATACTGTTGCATTTCTGACAAAACTTTGTATGTGACTGTTTTTTTATAACTCCATGTGGTGTGACGGTGATTTCATACTTAAAGAAGTAACCCACTTTTCCTCGGCACAGCAAAAGCAGAGGATACGCATACTCCATGGCCTTTAAAATAACGAGAGTAATTTTTTTTCCTTTTCACTTTGTGATGATCGCTTCACATGAAAGGCAAAGCAAAAGCCTCTGTAGTGATTTTAAGCTTTCTCAGGCGGGAAAAGTCTGTTCAGGATTACTCCATCCGTCCTATTTTAAGTGCAACCATAAATTTCCGTGTCTAACTTTGATCATCCGTCTTATTTGAAAATTTTTTATAATTAGTATTTTTGTTGTTGTTATGTGATGATACAACATGAATAGCACTTTACCCGTGACTTATGTTTTTAATTTTTTTTAAATAAGACGGACCGTTAAAATTAGGCGCGGAAAATCATGGCTACACTTAAAATGGGACGAACAGAGTAAAATACTTGGGAGACATGTACGTCGTACACCGGAGACTTGGAACACTTAAAACACTTTATTATATATAAACAACTTGTTCATATATATATATATATATATTGGGCAGTAATGTAATCTTGGCAGCAATCAATTACTACAACTAACGTGTATGCATGGTGCAGCAAATAGAATACTTACAACTAACGTACGAATGAACCAATTCAAACGAATGAAATTTAATCATGTATTTATGTACAAAGGAGAGACATAAGAACGTAGCTCGAGCTAGCCATGGACATTGGTCTGCATCGCCGGCGGCAGCAGCTCAGGAAGCCCGGGCGTCGATGCAACGATGAGGGGTATCACGGGGAGGTTCTCGCAGTTGCAGACCTCGATCATATTGCCGTCGGGGTCGTGGAAGAAGAGCTGGTCCACCACCGTCTCCCCGTCCCACACTTTCCTCACGACGAACTCCCGGTCCATGGCTCGTAGCCTCGCCTTCATGACCGCCATGTCTGAGCACTGCCATTCGCTCAAATCGAGTTAAGACAAATACGAACTCTGCTCTCGAACATAACAGTAGCTGATCGACCTGCGTGCATGCGACTGATACCTGGAAGGAAACGTGGTTTCCCATCGGGTTGATCGCCGGCAGCGGTCTTGTCGGGATGCTGCAACCGTCGGCGTCGTCGCCCCGCTGCAGCAGATGTATTCCCATCCCGTACTTGTATAGCCTGTAACAAGCAGCATTTCACACTGAAATGATCAGGCATTGTGTATGCAGCTCGACAACTGGTTCAAATTTCTAACTACGAAGTTGCATGCATTGCAGATTACATCTTGATCGGTCCTTTTGTGCTGGACGCTTCAGGGGTAATGTAGGTTAATTAATTACTCACCAAGCTCCATTGAAGTTCAGGGACTCCGGCCGCTTGATGAGCTCGAAGCCAAGCACTCGGCGGTAGAAGTCGACGGACTTTTCCACCGACGTGCACTGAAAGGAGACGTGGTTCAGGCGGACGAGAGGCACGGATGCAGCAACGGCAGGGTCAGGCGCCTCAGAACCCATGCTAGTTTCAGGAGATGCAGAAGAATCATGCGATATAGTAATCGTCGAAAACAATTGCGCGCCATATGCATGTTTATATACATGCATGCATGCGTAGAGTAACGCGGAGACAGCAGTTGGTTCATCGATCAGCACACAGAAATTACGCATGAAGTGTCGTAGCACGGCAAGTCGGCAACCCCTGTGTTTGCGTCCGTGAAGCAAGCTATAGGTCGTCGAGACTTGTGACGTGTGAGATCTAGACGAGGGAATTCAGGGAGCAGAAGACTTGGTTGCCACGTATGTGTGTTCGATCCAATCCCCTTGATGGTCGATAGTCAATAGATCTGTTGCTGCGCTGGATTTGTGTGTGTGGTTGTGTTGTGTGTCCTCGACGAAGTTGACAAAGTCAGCTAAATTAGCAACGTGGCGATGAGTTTTTTGATTAACTAGCATTCCACCGTCATCCAGAATCATCTCGGAAAAAAAGAGAGCATCAAAATGCATCATCCAGAATGGCAGTCGCATGTGACAGGCTGACAGATTTCTAAAAGGTTGGAGGTTGGTGTGGAGCCTTAGTTTAGTTTTCTCAATAAATTTCTAAGTTTTGAATTAATAAATACATAATTTTATATAGTTTATTTGGAGCTTAATTTTAACCTTTTTTAATGTCCAAGTGAATTTTCCTGCACAATTTTTACACGCACCTTATTTTGGAAGTGGAACAGAATTTGATATACAACTTTTAATTTATGTTTACAATAAATTTTAAAGGTAGAATATATATCTTCTATATAGTTGGTACCAACTAATAATAATTAGTAGGAACTATAAAGCTCAACATACAAGCATAACACATCATTATCCACTAGTAATTTAATATTATAGATTATCTTAAATCTCATACTAGATACATCATCTAAAAGAGAACATTGTAGAGCTTAACATACAAGGATGTTACATCATCTTTCTCACATTATTTTCATAATAATTGAACATTCATTATTTATATATTATTTGGCATATATTCATTTATGTATTTTATAGTAAAGCGTGGGGTATCACTTAGTTGCATTTGGTATACAAGTTTAACTTCTATTTTCATTTATATAACTAGGAAGGTGGCCCGCGCGTATACGCGGGCACTTATATTATTTGAAAGGTAAGATTGTTGTTTGTTCAGAAATTTTGTCTCATAAATTCGGGGCAAACTAAAGTTTGGATAATGTTATTTTATAATAATTTAAGGGTTCTATTTTTCTTAAGGTATCTTAGAAAACCATTCACAAACTTTTGAGTAGAAGATGGATTAAGTACTTACGACTTTTGAATCATGTTTTTTTTCTCGAGTAAATAAGAAACTATTGCTAGTTAATTATCATACAGTCCATGTATATACATATCGTGTAGTATGCCCGCAAATTAAAAATGCGAGTGCAAGATACTCAAAATTCTTTTGATTAAATCGTCTCATGAAGACGCATGATATAGTAATAAAGGGAGGGAAGCATATGCATAGGAAAAAAAGAAGAAAGAGAAAAATGAAAAAAAAGGGAGGGGAGGCGTACGTACCCGCGCATGTAGGTGCGTACCTATGTCGAGGTGGGACCTCGTAGTATTTAGTTTGTTTTAAGATCAATTTAATCTAATGGTTTATAATATTAGACCTACGGATTTAAGCGAAATAAAATAATAGATACTTTGATTTTTTTTGTTAGAATTTAATATTTGCCCTAATTTATTATAGCACCACGTGGCAGCTTGAGAGCATTTTAAGAAATTTTAAATGACTAATTAGAATGTTAATTGCGCAATATATATGTATGGGACATATGGTAATATTTGTTCCAACTTCGTCCATGTTTATATATATGTAGAGAGAAATTAATTTTGTGGCTAGCAAGCCATTAAATGTCTAATTAATAACAATTAATTTTGACACCTATTTACAATTGTTCAGAGCAACTCTTATATATTCATCTTACGACTTTGATGATCCGTTGTTCACCAATTTACTGATCATCATGGCTCGCATGAAAAAAAATATGTAGTACTTAAGGTTTAGGATAGCTGAAATTGATGAATTATATAATTTATGTGATAGCTATTTGAGGGTATAAACGAATGAATTGACTTCTAAAAAGTTATAATGTTGTTTAAAGAAGACACCATCTAGAAACTTGGAAAGCGTGCAAACAAAAATCCAAAATATGAAATCGGAAAAAAAAGAGAGGGCCTTAAACTCCCTTTATCACCTTTGTCATAGTAAGAGTTCTATTGATATTCGTCAATATTGCGCTCACATTTATAACATAATGATTCCTTTCACCTTTACGAACAAATAGTACAAAATCCAAATATGAAATAACACAAATACATTATAATTGTTATGTAACAACTCTCATTTTCAACTTAAATAGAGCTAATTAGTGTTGAGAAAAACACAACCCATGGTGCTTAATTATTCTCTCACTGCATCACACCTTTAATTTTTTTTCATGTTATTAACAAAATTAATCATCTCCATATATGATTTAATACGTGGCAAAGCGGTAGCACTATAGCGGTTGTGATCACCTTAGATGTCTCAGACACTATGCTTTGTCACACGTGCGAAAAGCAAAGGTGCAGACGTGCATTGTGCAGCGGGCAAAAAGAGAATTTTGGACGCTTTATTTATTAGCAAACAATAGATCCGATGATTATAATAATAGGTCCACCAGTTCTAGCGTAAGTGTAAATTAGTTAATATAGATTTTAAATTGTTAATTTAATGGGTACACAATATAATGGTGACAGTGCATTACTTGAGAATAATAGACCAGTGTAATAAAAAGTAGATCCGATGATTTATATAATGGAGCCATCAGTTTAAGTGCACGTATAAATTAGTTAATATAGATATTGTTTATTTGATATGACACGATATAATTGTGTAAAATTTATTTTAAAATAGTGCATTATTTGAAAATAATAGTACAGAGTAAAAAGTACACCGGCTTAAGTTATATGATGGTAGATTCTTTGTTTGTAAAATTATCATTATTTAAAAAATATATCCATTATATATATAAATGGAAAAAAGAAGAAGAAAGGAAAAAAAGGGGGGGAGGGTACGGTATATACTCCACCTGCCAATGCACGGGAGGAGAGGATAGGTGGGACCCATGGTATTTAGTTTGTTTTAGGATCAATTTTATCTAATGGTGTATAATATTGGACCCACCAATTTAAATAAAAATTAAGGGATATATGTTATGCTTTTTTCTTAGAATTTATAGGATTTTCTCTATTTTATTAGAGCGCCACGTGGTGGCTTGAGAGCGTTTGTAGAAAGTTTCATGGACTTTTAGTATATAATAGATAAATTGTAATTTGTATAAATTATAGCTTCTGGACCCACTAAGGCCATACATCGAATACATTTCTCTTTTTTTTTTGCTGATTTAATGTGGTAAATACTAGGCCTCCAAAAGCCAGAGCTAACATGGTTACATGGACATCTAGTTGTTGCTTTTAGAGCTATCTTTTGTACCCCCTCCGTCTCTAAATAGGTGGAGCATTAAAACAAAGGTTAAAAAACTACTCCTACTATACCTTCATTAATACGAGAGAACGATAAGTGGAAAATGGGGGAAAGGAGAGTACTATTGGTTCAGTGACTAAAAATAATAAGAAAAAAAAAGGTAATAGTATTAAAGAGTTCTAGTGAAATACTTTGGAAATATACTTTTTTAAGGACAATTTTTAGGCTAAAACTACATTTATTTAGAGCATGCTTGGTAGAGCTCCAGCTCCACTTCTCTTAGAGCTGGAGTCCGACAAAACGGTTTTAACTCCACCCAAAAAGGGAACGAAGTGAGCTAAAGTGCTATCACGAAATAAATAGGTGTAGTGAGGTTTAGGCTGCTTTACAACTCTACTTCTGATCCACTCTACGCCTGACCTAGCTTTTCAAATTAAATTTAGGAGGTGGAGCCCTATTAAACAGGTCGTGAACGAAGGAAGTGGTGTAATATAAAGATAAATAACTCCATCATCCAGAATTAATACCTATGAAGTTGTACTCGCATGAGACTCTATTTAGTGTCCTATTAATTTACTTATAAAACTTTAAAAATTAACAAATTTTACCTAATATGGACTTTCCTTGGTATAAGTTGAATATTTACATTAGCCTTGCATATATGTTGTTTGCAACCCTGAATATGAACAGGTGGTGCAATTTTACCCCCCCCCCCCCTAAGAAAACAGAGTGGATACTTTTTTCAAGAGCTTATTACACATACTTTGCAAAGTCCGGCTTATTTTGATGGAGAACAACGGAGTGAAGATGATCAGCATGTTAGAACTACATATAATCCTGTCCTTTTAATCTAAAGACAAATCTCTCTGAGGAACACAATGTGTATGTTGTTTAGCATTATAACATTATGGTGTAACATGGAACATGGACATGCCAATTTATATGGTGTTTAGGAGACAAAAGATTCATTATGACCATACATTATATTCACTATAGCAACACATATAATATGCTTTTTTATCAAAAAAAAAATCATAACGTCCGAAGTTAACAAGAGCTAGAGAAAAAGACTAAAACACCCCTCATTAATGAAAGGTTAGAATTGGTGAGTGGGTGGGTAGGTAGAGCCGCAGAGGGTATGAAAGGGTAGATTTTTTTTCAATTTGTGAACGAGGGTAATAAGAAGGTACGAATTGACTTATTTTGAAATAAAGTTTCTACTTTAATAATAATTTTCGGATAGATGCTCATTAAAATGGACTCGGACATTATATTACATGGTTTGCTTATCAGTGTATCAAACCTCAGGCTATTGGCTGATCATAGGTAAGGGTAGCCAATCAATCAATCACCCAACCAGCCTGCCGTTAGATTAGATGTGTCAATATCAAACATGCTCGACATATCAGTGAACAATAAAGAAGCATGTGCCAGATGTTTTCTCTTCGTATGTACTCTCTCCGTCCAAAAAAAGAGACAAATCATGGGTTTCCATGTCTAAAGTTTGACCGGCCGTCTTATATAATTTTTTTATAATTAGTATTTTAATTGTTGTTAGATGATAAAACATGATTAATACTTTATGTGCGATTTGTCTTTTTATTTTTTTTCATAATTTTTTTAAATAAGACGTCAAACGTTGGATACGGAAATCTAGGGTTTGTCTTTTTTTTTTTTGGGACGGAGAGAATAGAGTAGACAGCCCGACTTTGATTAGAGTTGAAGGTAAGCATGCCCTCAACCTCAATCAGTGACATCCTCTCTTTTGCACCTTTTGACAACAAAATATCACAAAGTCGAAAAAGAATAACCACAATCACCATTTCCGACAACTGCCTAACTTAACTAATGTGACGAGACGACGCAAGTGGGCTGTAAGAATGTGGTTTGGTAGAACAACAGTGTAGTAGTACATACTGCTATGAATTCAATTGGCTAGAATATCAGCCATAAATTATTTTTGAGCACTTTGGATTCTAGAGGGCATACACGACTGGACCACGCACAATGATTCACCCAAAGAAATTCCTGTCACGTGTTAACCGGCAAAGTACGCGCACTGGACCCCGTCCTAAAAGGACGTTAATTTGTTGTTAACCTGACGAAGAATTCCGTCAGGCGTGCAGTCTCTCGACTGACCCCCTCCTCTCCCCCAAAAACACAAGCAGCGCCTCCTCCAAAAACAACGGTTTTCTCTTGCCAGCCAGCAGATTCGCGCACCAGCCGCACGGCGCGACGATGCGCGCGAAGAACCGCCGTTTCACTGGAGCCGTGGAGCGCGCGTCGCTTCGCACGTCCGCGCTCGCGATACGCGCCGCGGCTACCGACAAAATCCGTACGACGCACCGTGCCGCACCTCCTCCTCCTCCTCCTCCCGCGGCGGGAGCGGCAGCTTCGGTCGCTGCCAAGCGGTACGGGACGCGCGGCTCCCGTCCGCATGGACGCCACATGCGCCGCGCCGCGCGAGAGTTAACCGGTGCGGTGCCGAATCGCTCGCTAGATGATGCCGCGAGATCTTCGGTTGGCGCGCGCTGTTGACTTCGTTGGCCTAGCTATCGGGGTTGCAGTCGCGGATGGCAACCGATACTATATGTACTAGGAGTACTACTACCGTAGACGTAGTCACAAGTACGTACAGTTCGTTGTGTGTAGTGTAGGTTTTTCCCTTGAAGCTCGATCGTGGCTTCGAATCGATCGGTCGTTCGATCACTGTTGTGGACAGTACTACTGTACTGGTAGTACCAGCCGTGCTATTGTCTTTTGATTTGCTAGTTCGCCAAGTTTTGAGAGGGAAATGAGTGCGTGTTCACCGGGAAAGGGTAGGTCAGTGATCCTTATGCCTTGGACAGCATGAGTGCAACTTTTTGCGACGCAGTAACTGGCACGGCCGGCAAAGGGACAGAACCATCTACGCCGATCATCATTCACCTCATCAAGCGACAAAATCTAAGTGCCAAGCATGCTATTATTCCCGAAATGATATCGACAAAAATGAAAACAAATTCTCAGATCAAGACCAGCTGAAGTAATGCAGAAGGTGCGCATCTACGCAGAACAAGGTGTGATTTCTCAACCATTTACAGATCGACAGTACAAGAAAACATATACAGGCATACAGCCAGCCACAAGAGCTAGCTAATTAAGCAAATGGCACCGCTTAAGGCAGCACGCCTAGTAAACATATACCGATCGAGTAAGTTTCACGTAACCTCTCAGAAAAATCCAATTAGCAATTGCTTTACCACTAAGGGACTGTAACTGCCAGTCACATCAAGATGAATCTTCCCTCTTTCTCCCAAACAAAATTCCTAAACACAACCACGCATCATCATCCACGCCTAACCCCCTACGGTCCGTTTGGTTGGAGAAAGTTTTTAGGAGGGATTGGAAATTTAGAGGGATGAGACTATTAAGAGTTTTGTTTGTTTGGGAGACATGAAAATTTTGGTGGGATGAGGATGGAGAATTGAGGAAGGAACTCCTTTCTTTTCAATACCTGGGTAGGGGCAGTTAATTGGGAGGGAATTCCTCCTTCACTTTGTTTAAGCAAATCTCAGCCATCCGTTTTTATTAATGACATAATCTCTAACTAAATTCCTTATCAATTTTCATCACCTCTACCAAACAAGATATTGGGATTAAAAATTAAATTCCCATCTTAATCTCATCATCAAATCCCTCGTGCCGCTAGTGGTAATCCCTGCTTCCTGAATTCTGAAGGCACCAGTCTGGCCGCCGTGAGTCTGTCAGTCACTCCAGTCTGAGACCTCAACTCCTGTGCAAACAAGAATACCCAACCCAATGATGATCCACTACTCCGTGCCTCCGTATGTTTAGTGCTCGCAATACACCGAAAAGCAGAGGGGCATCGCGCAAAAACGCACGGCAAGGAGCAACCAGCGAGAGCGACGTGGGGAGTGGGGACAAGGGAATCAACGGTCTCCTCTCCGGCTCTCTCTCCCCTCAACCGTGTGGGAAAAGGGAAAACGAGGAAAGGAAGGGAGGGGGCCAAAAGGAAAAGCCACCGTCCTCTACGATATCGCCCAAAAACCTGCCAGATCGTGCCGTCGTGGGGAGGGCGGGCTGCCGGCCGCCGCTGCTGCTCACGGAACGGAACCTCCACGGCGCATCTTAGGAAGACGGGAACCCCCTACTCGTCCTCCCCCTCGATAGTTAACCGACACATATATCGACCGCCATGGCGGCCGCCTCCAAGCTCGGCCGTCGCGCCGTGGCGGGCACTGCAGGGCGGCTCCCGCTTCCAGAAGCGCGCCTCCGCCTCGGCCTCTAGGGTAGGTAGACTCGTCGCCTTCACCTTGTTTTTCTTGCTCCCTCCCTTGCTGTGGCTTGAGCATTACGGGGTTTCTGCTACTTGGCTGCTAGTGCCTAGCTCACTGATGTGATATTGTGATCTGGCAGTAGCTCGCGATGCTGCCCCCTGCGGGATATGCTTAGGCGTTCTCGGGAAGTAGCCGCGATAGTCAACATTGGAATGAGTAGAGTAGCTGCTCTGCTTGCGGGGCGGTTGCTAGATTTAGGCCTAGTTAGTGTGCGATTCTACTGTTGCGGACGACGCTCTAACCACCATCTTAATCGTCTCCACGACGATTGGGGGTCCACGAGAGGTGCTTGCCTTGCCTTCTCCTCCACCTGCAGGAGCAACAACTCAACACCCCGTGGCTCCCCTCCCCGCCCAACGAGTAGGACGGGTTCTTGAATTCCAGTTTGCCTTTGCTGACCCGTTTGATTATTATTATTTTGGATGTGACTGCTTTTCTGTCGCTTATAATGGTGTGATTTTGGGCTCTTGGCAGATGGTGTAGGGGCCAGGGGAGAGGGGGAGTGTGTGTGTGTGTGTGTGTGTGTGTAGAGGGGTGAAATGGGGGCGATTGGCGGGGATGAGGTGGTGCAGTGGGACAAGATGGACGGAGGTGAGGTGGTCAATGGCGGCGGCGGCGGCGGTGTGGGGAAGCTGGAGAGGATACTGGTGTCAGTGAGGCTGAGGCCTCTCAGCGACAAGGAGATTGCGAGAGGGGATCCGTCGGAGTGGGAGTGCATCAATGACACTACCATAATCTCCCGGAGCACCTTCCCTGACAGGCCATCGGCTCCGACTGCATACTCCTTCGGTTAGTTCATCACAAGTTCACAACTCTGGGTTTTCTACATCTGTAATTCATTAGTTCTGCATCTCCTGTTAGGATTTTGCTTATCTGGTCAGCTCTTATGTATTGCATTCCAGTTGCTTCAAATCAGGACAAACCTTGTATATTTCTTTAAAATTTAAAATCTCAGAATTTAACATACCTGCCGGAGTCCAATCACTGGTAATTTGTTACTTATACATCGTCGTTTGTTACAAGTAACAGAACACATCGACACATTCCTGTCCCAGTAAAAAAAATCTGACAGAACACCTTTAGAAATTAAGCTAACCCTCCTGAAATTGAATGTTTACATTTACAAATGTATTGGACATTTTTTTTTGGTAGTGGACAACTACACACCACTAGAATACAGATAAGTGGGAGTTTAGTTTGCTCGTACTACAAGTATGCTCTTTAATATTCTCACTTTCCAGCTGTGTTTTTTGACACAACTCTATTCCAATTGCAGATAGGGTATTCCGCTCTGACTGCGATACGAACGAAGTATACAAGCAAGGGGCCAAGGAGGTTGCCCTCTCTGTAGTTAGTGGCATTAACTGTTAAGTCCAAACCTATTGCCTATCTTATCCAATTTGGTTTTGATTGAAGATTGCATGAACTAACTGAACACATTTTATTTCCTTTTAATTTGTTCTGTAACAGCGAGTATTTTTGCATATGGTCAAACAAGTAGTGGAAAGACATACACCATGACTGGCATAACTGAATATACGGTAGCAGATATTTATGATTACATTGGCAAGGTAATCAGCCACCTATCTTAGTACCTATTAATCCATAGCTGGTGTTGAAACGAGACACATTTGAACTGTCAGGCTGATAGGCATGTTGTTCTTTTTGCAGCATGAGGAGAGAGCATTTGTCTTGAAATTTTCAGCAATAGAAATATATAATGAAGTTGTAAGGGATCTGCTAAGTGCAGAAAACACTCCTCTTAGACTTTGGGATGATGCAGAGGTCAAAACAACTCCTACTTATCTAATTATTTTTAAATCCTGCTTGGCTCCTGCTTTCTACTAATGATCTTGGTGTTGTTTATTTTACAGAAAGGAACCTATGTAGAAAACCTCACAGAGGTTGTATTGAGGGACTGGAACCATCTCAAGGAGCTTATTTCTGTATGTGAAGGTGCGATGTTTGTGGTAGATTAATCATTAATACATTATCTAGAAAAAAGTTTATAGGTGGTGATTACTGCCATCTGATTCTGTGTTTTTATATAGCTCAAAGGAAAACCGGGGAGACATACTTAAATGAAAACAGCTCCAGATCGCATCAAATACTTAAACTGGTTTGTTCACTACGCAGTCACATTAGAAAAGAAAAAGGCTATAGTAAATATGTAAAATTGATGTTGCATTGGTCCATTAACTCTAACTTACCCATCTGTCCTTTCAGACAATAGAAAGTTCTGCTCGTGAGTTCTTGGGTAAGGATAAATCAACTACACTTGTGGCTAGTGTGGTAAGAGACATTTAAATTTTGGTCATATTTCTTTTTCATGTAGAAATGGTGAAGTTTGAGCGCATTTTGTTGTACCATGCAGAATTTTGTTGATTTAGCAGGAAGTGAACGTGCATCTCAGGCATTATCAGCTGGTGCTAGGCTGAAAGAAGGCTGTCATATTAATAGAAGTTTACTTACCCTAGGAACTGTCATTCGGAAACTAAGGTTGACAACATAACTTAATACTTTGTGTCGTGTTGAATTCCAATTTCCCATGGCATTAGAGGATGGATGCTGTGGCTCATTTGATTACTTGCTTTCATCTATGCAGCAAAGTAAGAAATGGGCACATACCATACAGAGATTCAAAGCTCACACGCATACTGCAACCTTCTCTGGGTGGTAATGCAAGAACTGCAATTATTTGTACAATGAGTCCTGCCCGTAGCCATATGGAACAATCGAGAAACACTCTGCTATTTGCAAGTTGTGCAAAGGAAGTAGTTACAAATGCCCAGGTTAATGTAGTCATGTCCGATAAAGCACTAGTTAAGCAATTGCAAAAAGAGCTTGCTAGGTTGGAGAGTGAATTGCGATGTCCAGCTTCCTATTCTAGTCTTGAATCATTGGTGAAGGAAAAGGATAACCAAATCCGGAAGGTAAATGCTACTTCTGACCTTTATGGTGTTCACTCTTGCTATTTCTTTGTACTTAAAGAACTTGTAGATCCTAAAATGATCATTTTTATGCATGCTTTATGCTAATTCTCTTCAATGCCAGCAATACACCAACTTCTAGCCATGGTGTAAAAGATTTCACATATTCTTCCTTGCAGATGGAGAAAGAAATTAAGGAATTGAAGTTACAGCGTGATTTAGCTCAGTCCAGGCTTCAGGATTTGCTTCAGGTTGTTGGAGATAACCATGTCCATGTTTCAAAGCAGTCCTCGGTATGCAGACTTCCTTAGTATAACTATCGTTTCATAACCACATAAAGTTATTTACCTTTTTCCTTCTATCTACATGTAGGTTTCTGGGAGGAACTTTACCTTCGATGTTCCACAGACGTGTGAAGATGAGCAATCAACAACTGAGTCATCAGAAGTTGTTGACAGTGTCCAAAATTTTAGGTTTCAAGGCCGGCGAGTGGCACAGAGGGAACATAAGCCTCAGCAGGCTGAAAATAATGTGCAGTTTACTACCCCATCTAGGTACTCAGTCAGCAGTCCTCCGTTCAGTGGGATGCTCCCAACTAACAGAAGTGATCATCTCTCACAGATCTCTAATGAAGATTCAGATGATATCTGCAAAGAAGTACGGTGTATAGAAACCAATGAAACAGGAGGAAATGAATGTTTGGAATCGTCGGCTGTGGGGAGCAATAGTTTGCAAGACCCAAATGCAGGTTCTAGTATGCATATCAACAATGATTCAAATTCATCTATGAATTCTAGGCTTCGTGATGAATCTCCAGTTACCCTTGAGCAGCATTTGGAAAATGTCAGAAAACCTTTTGCCAATATTGTAAAAGATCTGGGATCTTCAACACGTAATTCGTCAAGCTCTAAAGTACTTGGTAGGAGCAGGAGCTGTAGGTCTCTTACTGGATCTAGTTTGTTTGAAGATTTGGAGAAGGACGATTGCACCCCACCAAACAGAAGTTTCATAGATTTCGCTGGGAGACCTCAAAATTGTCAAAGAAGGGGATCTGCACTGAACTATGATGCAGAGAGCGAGACCCTATCAAGGGCAGGGTCAATGCTTTCTGAAATTACTACCACGAGGGATGGACTGAAGGCTAACAGTTCTGTTGCAGGCGACACAGAATTTACTGGCATAGGTGAATTTGTTGCTGAACTGAAAGAAATGGCACAGGTTCAGTATCAGAAGCAACTTGGTCATGTGAGTCATTGGAAATGTTATCTTGTTCCTGTTGATGCTGCTCATTCTACTTGTTTGAGAACTGCGCACGGTTATGGTGCTTCACATTTTTAATAGCTCAAGGAGGGCTTATTTATAAACTAAAAATACTCGTTGCACTACTTTAAGATAGTCCAATATGCCACATTTAATTATGATTTTGTTCTTTGTTTCGATTGCCAGAGTGGAAATGGAGACTTGGCAGAAGGAACCATCAGGAGTGTAGGACTGGATCCGATTACAGATGCCCTACAGTCACCTTCACGGTGGCCCCTGGAATTCGAGAAGAAGCAACAAGAGATTATTGACTTTTGGCATGCATGCAATGTTTCTTTGGTCCATAGGACCTATTTTTTCTTGCTATTCAAAGGAGACCCAGCTGATTCCATTTACATGGAAGTGGAACTTAGGAGGCTATCATTTCTTAAAGATACCTACTCCAATGGAGCGATAGCTAGTATCCCGAATACTTCTCTAGTTTCAAGGTAAGTCATGTTCAGCATACTTCTTACAAGTTCACTGCATTACATCGGTTGTGACACTTCGATACCTACTGATAAATTGACTCGGGATGCAGTGCGAAGAAGTTGCAGCGCGAAAGGGAGATGCTCTGCAGGCAGATGCAAAGACGGCTCTCAATCGAGGAACGAGAGAGCATGTACACCAAATGGGGGGTTTCACTTGCCTCCAAGAGGAGAAGGCTACAGGTTGCTCGTTGCCTTTGGACCGAAACCAAAGACCTGGAGCATGTCAGGGAGAGTGCATCCCTTGTTGCCAGACTGATCGGACTCCTTGAGCCAGGGAAGGCCCTGAGAGAGATGTTTGGGTTAAGTTTTGCGCCGCAGCAGTTCACTCGGAGATCCTACAATAGCTGGAGATATGGGCGCTCTTCTCTGAACTGATTGAACCTACAAGATGCTACTGACGGAAGGGGGCTTTCCAGTTTTCCCATTTTGTTTTGTTTTGCTTTTAGGTCCTTTGTCATGCACTTCTGTATGATAGATGTAACTCATTTGCTATTTTTTATTGGACGATCAGTAGGGTCGATCTTATACAAAAGGAGTTCTATATCACCTGAATTGCAAGGTTAAAATGTATGTTCAACTAACACGAAAGACTTCCGAATGTTAACAGCCACTCAGCATTCAGAAGTAGCCATTCAGCGAGTCTATGTTCCAATCTTGAATTCTGTGTACAAAGCAAGGCAATATTTACCGGCTGTACAAAATCTCAATCCCATCATATTTGATCGGACTCAGGCACTCAGCTGAATAAAAAGAAAGAACAAATGTTTATGTTCGTAGCTAGCATGGAACAGTTTTAACAGTCGCTACGGGCATACATTCTTTTCTACACTCCATTGGCGAGGTTGTACCATGTATGTATTGTCTTCCAAGGATAGAAGAGAACTTCTAAGACTGTCTCCAACAGCGGAGACCCATTCTAGAGACTCATCATGGATTGAGTGATGCACAGTAAAAAGGTCGGACACTCAAAAATTCCCTTCTCCAACAGCCTACCCAGTGCTCCCAATCTTCTTCTCTCCAACAGCCTACGCTGGCAGCTCGCGGCACGACTCCTCGCGACGGCTGGCAGCTCGCGGCACGACTCCTCGCGACGGCTGTGGTCGGGGCGGAGCGGTGGTGGCAGGCGGAGCACACCCACCGGCGGCTCGCGGCACGGCTCGTCCTCGTGGCGGCGATGCTCAGAACGGAGCAGCGGGAACTGCGACGACCGCGCTCCGCCGCGGACTCTCCCCGTCGGCCGCACTCCGCCCTAACGCCACTACGGGCCCACTACGCCTCCTCCCCGACGGCGCGCTCCGACGACGCTCCCCGACGGTGCTCCCCGACGGCGCTCCCGCCCCGCCGCGCCACCTCCGCCCCGCCGCGGGAGCTCCGCCTCACCGCACCAGCTCTGCCTCACCCTGGCCCACCGCGCGACTGCGCGAGCTCCGCTCCAGTGTTCGGTGGAGAGAGGAGACGTATATTTGCCTAGCGCTTTGGCCGCTACCCAATATGCGTATCGCATTTGCCTCTCCCGTTGGAGGCTGTTTTTTTTTACCCAAAATCACTGTGCACGACGGATAAATGAGTATGCGTCGCGTTGTTGGAGACAGTCTAAAGGGATATTGGTGGTGAGGTGGTGAGGATGTATTGTATCTCTTAAAGATAGGAGAGAACCTCTAAAAGATTCTATTATTAATAGTACATGCGGTACAATTGTAGCAGGACTTTTAGTGGAATGAGTCCTAAGAATAATGCTATGGGATAATAATGGATAAGGTCGTTGTATTATTAATTTAATAGTACAATTGACCAGATCATCGTACTTGATTTTCCATCTGATGTTCCTTTTTGGAGGAAGAAGTGAACGACTTGACTGGTGAAGAAGCACCGACGGAATGAAAACGTAAACAAGGCGGTATAGAATTGCCAAACTCGTCTTTTTCCAGCTCATTTTCAGCTTTGGCACGGGCTGTTTTCCTGGGAAATTTCAGGGTAGTTTAGAGATGTTGCGTCAGTTCTGCAGCAATCACCATTTCGAAGCGTTTGTCAAAGTCCATGAAAAAGAGGAGTAAGAGGTAAAGCTATTCGATCGCAATAAAGAAGGTGGAATATGGTGTTGACAAAACATTTACCCATAATCAAAGATAAGAAGCTGCTAGCAAAGCACACGATATTTTAATAATTTACTACAGTAACTCCTCTTGTTTTTTAAGGATGTGTTTGAAAGAAGGGGATAAAAAATTTAAGAAAATGGACAAAATTAGATCCACCGTTAGCATATAATTAATTAAGTAGTTATTATTTTAAATTTTTAAAAAATAAATTAACAATTTTTTAAAATAACTTTTCTATCCACTTTTTTTAAAAAACTCCCGTTCAGCAATCCGGAAGTGTAAGCGGAAAATGAGGGATTTAATTTTCTTTATTCTTCTAACGAACACAAATATACAACAGTAACTCCTCTGAAGCTGTATACTAAGATCACATGATGAATGATACTAAAATTTGACAATATTCCGGCGTCCATTGAAAGATTCCTTTGCCATATGTTCATATACGTCGAATGGCCAATACATTAAACAAAAATGAAGAAGGGCTGACACGTACCTATATTCCGGGAACGATTTTATGAGTTGAGAAAGAAAAATTACGTTGAAACTCAACCATAAAAAAATTTCAGTTAACTTTAATATCTTAAGGTATCTTAAACGAGCACGAAAATAATCTCGTTTCGTCGTCGCCACCATTATAATCTCATCATGACCACACCAACAGCGACCCTTTAACCCCAGAAATCCAAAACCAAACCAGCGAGCGATCCTTAATCCTTGCAGATAAACAACTCTACTCCTCTCACCCCCCGCATCCATCGAACTCCAACCTCTTCCTCTCCTCTTCTTCCCTCCCATCGACGCGCAGATCTATCCCCCGTCGCCGTGCGCTTCCCTCCGATCGCGAGCAGATCGGATTTATGCGGCCGTACTGCTTCTGCTGCTGCTGCTGCGAGGAGCGCCAGCCATGTCGTGGAGCTTGAGCCGTGGTGAGGGGGAGGAGGCGGGCGGCGGCGGCGGCGGCGCTGGGGTCGGGGTTCGGCGGTCGCAATGTCCAGCATGTCGGACTCGGGGACGGGCGGCCGCGGGGGCGCGGAGCTGATGGTGGAGCAGTTCCACCTCAAGGTGCTCCATGCCGTGCTCGCCGTGCGCGGGCCGCGCCCGCTGCAGCCGGCCGCGTCGGCGTCGTTCAGGCGGCGGGACAGGTGGTTCCACCTCCCGCTCCACGATCCGCAGCCTCCGCCCGCGGCGGAGGGAGTGGAGGCGCCGGAGGCGGGGGAGCCGCTCGTGGTGGACATCCTCCTGGCTCACGCCGCAGCCGGCGGCGGCGGCGGCGGCGGAGCGGGCGGGGAGGTGGTGGAGAGATGGACGGTGGTGTGCGAGCCCTGGCCGGACGCCGCGGCGGGCGAGGGGATACCCGTGAACCGGGCGTACAAGCGCTGCATGACGATGCTTCGGTCGGTGTACGCCACGCTCCGCTTCCTGCCGGCGTACCGCGTCTTCCGCCTCCTCTGCGCCAACCAATCCTACAACTACGAGATGGTCCACCGCGTCGGCTCCTTCGCCGTGCCGCTCTCCCGCGACGAGGAGGCCGCCATGCGCTCCTACCAGTTCGTCCCCGTCGAGACGCAGCACGGCCGCCTCGTCGTCTCTGTCCAGTACCTCCCCAGCCTCGCTGCCTTCAATCTCGAGATCTCCTCCTTGTCGCCCTCCATGCTGATCGCCGACTACGTGGGCAGCCCTGCTGCCGAGCCAATGCGTGCCTTCCCAGCTTCGCTCACAGGAGCCACAGGTTCCGCTTTCCCGCAGGCGCTGTCCAATCAGCCGCAGCGCCCGCACAGCTGGGCGACGCCAGCGCTCTGGCCGCAGGCGCCTAGGCAGCAAGCTAGATTTTCGCCACCTCATTTGCTCAACGCATCACCCACTCCATCGCCACCCAATTTTCCCAGCGGGTATCTTCAATCTCGTCCTAAGGGAGGGTCTGCACCAATGAGCATACCACAGGTGGGTGACAGGAGGAGCCCAATTCACCGGCCGATCACATTGCCACCAACGTCTCCGAGGAGAGTAGGGGAGACAGGAACATCTAGTGCACAACAGTCTCCATCAGAGAGATGCCCCTCGTTTGGGAGGGCAGATGGATTTCGAATAATGGATCCCTATGCAAGCTTGTCGCCAGGACGCAAGGTGATCCATGGTTTTAAAGCCTCCAATATGCTTTCAACTTATATTTGATACTTGTGTATGCCTTATCTTCATCACTGCTCAATACTGGATCCTTCATGAATCATATAACTTTTGAGAGTGAGTGTAAGGCAATTCATCTGGTATATCTGAAGTAGACTTTTCTGTTTTCATGTGGCTGAGTAGAGCCTACTGGCATTTACCTTGGAAACTAGGAAACAAACTCTACCAAGAGCTATTTCAAGTCAATGTTTAGCAGTACATATTCACAAGTTTAAGTTGTTATGTTAAGTTTAGCTTCATGATATTGTGCAACAAACCATGTTTGATAGTGGAATGTAAGCCATTATTAGTACTGGAGTTGAAGCAGCCTAAATACTGTTTGTTAGCATATACACCATTTAGCTCTCATCTCTCCTTTTTTTTTTGGCAAAAAATAGACTACATATCAGGGTCTCTTATTAGTTGTGAACTGTTTCGATTGTCTCTTGGTTCTTGCTGAGACCATATTATTTGTTGAAAAGAAATGCGTTCATAGTACTTGTTGAAACAGAAGAATGGTTGTTGAGTTAGTTATTTTCTGAGGCTTACCCAAAAGCAGCTTTTGATCTTCAAATGGTTGGATATTTGGATTACCCTTGTCTGCTGCAATATATGTCTGCTCTTGTACTTTTAATTTTTATTTAGTGGATTGCCTTTATGGGACTTAATCTTATCCTCTGCATTAGCTATGGATAACTTATTTATCTTCCTCTAGCTATTGAAGCCAGGAAAAAAATATGTATTTGAGTTGGGTCTGCGTTGACACCGTTTGACCCATGTGCAGGGCAAGGACACTAAGGACGAATCTGGCAGGTTCTCTGCACTCTCCTCCTGTGATTCCCCTCGACAAGATGATATAGATGATGCAGATTATCCCTTTGCTGTGGATGATGTTGATACACCGAGCTCCCAGCCTGGGTATGTATGGTAGTAACTTAAATATTCTATCTATAGATTTGATGAATTTCGCCATTTGCTAGGGCAGTAGTGCATCAGATAAAGCCAGAAACGAATTACATGAAGTCTTATCTATTCATATGAAATACGAAGTACTAGCTCCTATCCGTTATATTTTGGGAGGGAGGCAGTACTAAGTTGATTTAGTATCCATAGATCTAGTTGTTAAAGAATGCTAGAGGCTATCCGGTTACACAAATATTTGATCGTTAGAGCTATCAAATCCTATTATGTTGCACATTATTTGATTTTTTTTTTCAAAAGTTTAAATATGACATTAAGGGGACTAAGGATTTGAAAACCTTTTGGACATGTTATTTTGTCATACTACAAAACTAGTGTTAGAATAACTGGTAGAGATAGCAAAAAGGAATAATAAAAATGAGGGTTATTGGCTTAGTTAACATGGACTCGGTGTGCCTTGATCGACAGCTCTACCAATATGTAGTTTATTGCAAAGATCTAGATTTTGCATAGTTACCAGTTCTTAAGTTTCTTTGCTTTATAGTTAGAGTGAACACAATCATATGTCAGAGCTAACAGTTGCTACAAATGCAAAGCACAAATTTGGACTTGACTCGATGACTTTTTCTTTTTGCAACTTCTAAGTTCTAACCTCTATGTAACCTGCCTCTTAGTCACAATCAACAAGTTTTAACATATTAAAATGTTTTTTAGACAAAAGGCCAAAGCCAAGCTATTTATAGAAAGCATAGGTAGATAGAAGAGTGTAGTCGGGATTACCGGCCATCCTGGTAAAGTTTCTGGAACAAAATAGCCACTAGGCTACAACTCGACAATGATTAACACACTGGCCAACAACCAAAAGCGATATCAAGATACAACCAGAACGGCAGAAAGAAACTAACAAAGCACTTATAAAAGATTAAATTGTACTAGTGGTCATCAAACACATATCAAACATGTCCTACATGTGCAAGTATGTTTGTTATGGCTTGGCCCTGGACTTAAATGGCAAAGGGTGTAGTTGTGCTCGACAGGAGGGTGCAGCCTGAACCCTCACCTCCCTGGAACCCTGGAAGAGAACAGAGTGACAGGACAGAAGAGAGTAGGCTAAGTTCTTGCTTGTGTTTAATAATGAATGCCACCTCTGTTGTATAGAGAAGGTCGTTTGCAATATCCAAATAATGTTCCTAACGATCCTCAACAATAGCTAAACAGACCTAACCAAGAAAATGATACGCAAACTAACATTTAACTGATCAACGGCACTGATTAATCCTGTAGTAACACATAATCTGGCTTGCTGGGTCGACCGAACTTATGTCCTCACATAACAAGGTAATGGTCACTCAAACCTATGCCATCACAGTAGCTGGCATGGCATTGATGCCTATGGGTTAGGCAAATTTGCTTGCTAATGACTTCTGTGAACACCTAATGAAGTTTATTTACCTATTACACCAAAATCTAAGCTAGTTGAACTACTTGCACGTGTGAGATAAGTCTGCAGAAGAGCTCCAGGAAAGTACAATTCAGCACTTTATTTTCTTAATGACAATCCATACAATATGGGCCTTCCCCTACAGTTCACCATAAAAATCAATTACAGAACCATTGAAAACAGAAATCTACAACCCCAACCGGCAGTCACTGTACCACCATATTGAGTGAACAACTTGAATGGCGAGAAATGCTACATCTGACAAGCTAGATGGATAGCACATGGGAGAGGGATGATGATTATTCAGGGATGCTGATTGCTGAGTATCTGGTTTGTGGTCGAGGGTCAAATTTCAGGCCTTAGGAAGAGTGAATTGCTCAAATGGAGTTTTCCTTTTACTTTTATTACACTCGTACATAAATTAAATAGTAAATTTCATAGAACCCCCGGTATTATGGTCCAAATTGCAGAAAACCACGGGGGTTTTGGCACGTGACACATAACCTTGGGTATTATATTATAGTACTATAGTTTTATAAAACCACACTGTCAAGGCGTCAACAAATTTAACTTGACATTGTAGCAAAATAAAAAATGCTTAACTTAGATGGCTAAAGTTTTTTATGATAGATAAAAAAATTCATTAATTCGAGTTTTGAGATTTGATATTAGAAACTCATACTTATGATGAAACAAAGAACAATTGGTTAACAATGAGGTTTTGTGAAACTCTAGAACCATGATATCCGGGGTTGTGCCACATGCCAAAACCTTTGTGGTTTTGTTCAACAAGGACCATAATACTAGTGGCACGGTTCTAATTTCCCCAAATTCTAGTGGCACGTAGCCGATATCGTGAATAGTAGTGGCATTTATCTAAAATGGCATATTTGTAGTGGCATGTCCTAATACATAAGGTTATGTGAAATTTACTCTAAATTAAACATCTAGTTTTGCTTGTTTGGGCGGTCATTGTTATGTGGTGCCAAAATAGGATAATTATATTCAATGCATTGAGCTACATTTGTTGCGTGATAGTCTATATGGTGTATTGAATAAGATGATTAGTCTATTTTACTATTCCCAGTGCCATCAGATATTCTTTTGACGCAGCACCCTATATTAACAGGAGATTCAGATCTAATATAACCTTATCTGGATATGTGCCTCTATTATTATTCACCCCATTCATGTTTATCTTTGTTGAGCTGTACCCATGGCTTTTGATAAAATATAACAGTTATGTATGTCCTCTTGTATTTCTACTATTCGGTTCTTTGTTTCCACTACTGAGTTTCTATGGTTCTAACACCGTTTCTATATGCACTATATAATATACAGGAGCAGTGATGGGAAGGAAGCTAGAGATCAGGCAAGTTCGTCGTCCCATAAATCACAAGATGCCGCAGTTGGCTCTCTGGTGCACCTGCTCAAAACTGCACGCCCTCTGCGAAACTCTAATTGTCCATCTCAAGCATCAGCGGTTGAATCTAGTGAAGCAGCCTCAACCAGTTCTGTCGTGTCCCGTAGGAAATCTGATGCACTCGAAGAGCTCCAATCATTTAAAGAAATCAAGGAGAGGTTGATGTCCCGGAGTAGAGCAAAACAGCAAGAGCCACCAGAAAAACCATAGCACCGTTCTTTCCTTCGTAAACTTCACAGGTGAAGATCCCCTACCACAAAGCGGGCTATGCGGTGAGCTCAGTGACGTTATGCTAAGGAATTCGTGTGTATATAACTGATGGACTGATGCTTTTAGTTAAAGAGAAGATACGAGTTACCACTGATTTCTGCGAGAATCCCTCGCCATTCTTGAACTCTAGAAGAATTACGCCACTGTTTATACGCTTTTATACGTAGGTGGGAGCCTCTTGACGAATATAGCAGCTCCAGCGTGTGCGTGTGTAATTATGTGACTGTACTGACTACTGTGCCGAGTGTTCGGTAAATTAAAGTATCTATCTTCAAACTTCAAAATATTGCTCGTAATCCAGAAATCAAAGGCTTAATGTTCTGTACTCCTATTTGAGATAGAGATGTGAATAGGCGGTATGAGGATGGTATAATTAATTCTGCCAGTGATGAACTAGTGAACCGATGACTTTCAAATAAATTTTGCATTGTTGGAACTAAGGCAAGAGGAACCCCGTTCCCCGTTTGCCATACAGTGCATAATTTAAAATTTGCAAAGTTCTAATGCCAGCAATTTGGAGAAGAACTTGTGTTGATATTGGTATGGATCTGGGGCAAAATTCTTCTGGCTTTTTTTAGTGCAGGCTCGCAGAAGAGAAGCGGCGTTTTCAGTGACTAGGCAGGCCTTGGTACCTCGCATTCTGGGTCTGGGGCCCGAAAACTGTAGCCTTGGGCCGGTTTCCGCAGGAAAGTACTGCCATGAAAGCCCATTTCTACCTTCAAATTGCACGCGCGCTCTTTGGGTGGGTTGGAGTCCATTTTAATCCCTTTAAACCGGGTATATCGCGAATGAATATTAAAACAACTCCATCGATATGTACATGGCTATCTCTCACCTTTTTCCTCAACTACTCCCTTCTCTTAGTCTCACCTCCCTCTCTTGCGGGAGCTCCAGCACCTCTCTTGATCTCCTTTGTTCCACCAAACCCTAGTTGCCTTCTGCCATATCACCGTACAACGGGAATGAAGATGGCTCTGGAGAGGCTCGACACTCTGACGAGATGGTTCACGTAATCATTCTCCCTTGACACCGTCACACGTCATGCAACCAAGCAAAGCTTGGCGTCCTCCTTGTGCTCCTTGGGCTTTTCACGCTCACGTTGTTGGGCCTCATCTCTTCCCTGCGCCATGACCCGCGGATGTGGCTCCTTGCTTCCATCCAATTTAAGAATCTCCTTCTCCGCCTAAGACCTCCTGGTGACAACGCCATCAACCTCTCGCCCTTCAACTACATCACCATCAAAGCGAACCTCCTCCAGCTCCTCACCACGTCGTCTCTCATCCATGCACAACTCTCCAAGGCCCTCTTTGCCGCCACAGCTTCCGACTTCCCTGCTAGGTAGCGTCCTCCCCTCCATCGTCTCCTTTCTTGGTACCGCCCTCTCCTCAGGGGATGTCACAACGACCAACTCCTTCCTTGCTATAGCGGCATCCCTCTTTTCCCTCTTATGCAATGCATTTGAAGGCAACACTCCATCCGCCTCAACCTAAAGTACTACCTTGAGAACTTTCCCTCTACACTAATCGAGGTCTTCCTCTCCACCTCCCACTGCCTTCAGACGGTTGTTGTCATGATGACCCATATGAATCCCGCACGATGTTTGAGTACCTTCACTCGTGTTGTGAGATCTTCGTCACCACTTTCCCAAGTTCAATAGGAGGAGTGTGGTGGCTTAGGTTGTACTCGAGCTCCTCCTCCTCTGTCGCCTGCTAGCCACCGGTTGTGCCGTCGGTGACCCACAAGTAGGGGTGCAAGGGGCAGGCCCGCGTACCCAATTACGCGGGATTACCCGCTTTTTTGTATTGTAAGTGGGTTCACGGGCCTACCCCCTTGCAACCTTACCCACAAGTGGAGTGCCCATAGGAGGGAGTGAGGGGAGAGAGGGGGGTGGTGTAGGAAGAAGATGGGAGGTAGTCACTTACTGGGTTGCCTTGTGGATGCCACGTTAGCCACCTCAAATTTGAGAAATCTTTTTGAAATGGTTTTAATACTTGAGAAAGGCGTAGTATAGATTCGGCCAATAGTTGAGTGAAAAATAGAGTTTGTCGAATTAGTGATGCAGAGCCGCAAAGAACAAGATAAAACCCATTTCTTGTGGCAAACCACTGGCAAGCGGTGATTGTGAGTGGCGACGTGATGTCATTTTGCCTCTGCCCGCTGATCAGCACGCACAGGCAGCAGCCTCAATTGAAGAAAAAATAACTCTGGTACACGAACTTAAAAAAATATTACAAAACCTTTACAAATATTTATTTTAACAATTAATTTAACTACAAATATACATGACACATCATTGTTAAGAATAGTTTAGTAAAAAGTTAATACCTAGCCTTTAAAAAAGCACAATTATTTTAAAAACATGGTACAAACTCAGGTGCTCATAACAAGTGCATACTTATCCCTATGAACATTGACGGAGCGTGGGGCTCCTCACCGGGAGACCGCGCAGGCCCCCTTTGCCGGTTCGGCCGGGGGCGCTAAGTGAGGTTCTTCGCCCTCGATCGGTCTGGGGAATGTTTCGCGAGAGAGTAAATGCGCAAGACATGGGCGATGTAGACAGGTTCGGGCCGCTGAGAAGCATAATACCCTACTCCTGTGTTCTGGTGGATCTGTGTATGAAGGAGTTACAAAGAGCTGGAGAGCAAGAGAGTTCCCACTCTAGAGCCCCTCTCACTCCTCTTTTCTCCAGTCTACTTGCTCAGGTCTCCTCTAGTCTTTTTTTCCGTCCCTCCTTTTTTTTGGTCCCCCCTCTTCGTAGGCATGGTCCTCCTTTTATATCTCAAGGGGATACCACATACACCATTTCTACCTACCCTTCTTTTGGGTCGGGACCCATCCTACTTTGACCAAAACTTGGCTCGTACTTTCGCCTGACACCGGGATAACCCTGTCCTCCCTCATTAATGGGCGGAGATTTGCAATGGCTGCTGTCCGAATGACCCTCCGACGGGATGGGTCATACCAACCTCCACTCCGCCGGAAGCAGGTGCAACGTGGAAGCACGGTTGTTTGCTGATGACACGACCGGCGTCAGACCAGTCACAGACCGGTCATTCTTGTCCACCACGTGTCAGTTTAGCATGCTACACGTCTGCCCTTCTTCATACAATGACTTCCTTGCAATGGTTGCGATGAAGCCTGGAATGTATCTGGCCGGGGCTGACGCGCCAACTCCAGGAGTTCCCACGCCGGCTCCGGCTAGGGACGAGTGCCTGGAGGCTCTCATCATTCCGACGGGACGGGGCGAGGCGTGTGTCAGGCCGCCTGTTGCCCCCTAACCCGCGATCTGACCGGTCTGTGACCGGTCACACACTGCGACCGATCACGGACCGGATAAGCATGCGCTATGCTGCATTAAATGCGGCGTGAGGCGCTCGTCCAACCCGCAATAAACGCGGTTAGGTGAGCGCCGCTGTGCTCACCTAACCCACACACGTGGCGCCAAACCCTCAGGGGGTCGGGGCACCCCAGCCCCCGGGGGGTCGAAACGGGAGCGGCCCGACCCCTCGGGGAGATAGAGGGAGGGGCGGCCTCATCAACCTCGGGCCCGACCCCCCCGAGGGGGTCAGGCCACGTGGGTGACCGCGGCTGCCCCAAACCTCTAGTCAAGATATCCCCGGTCCCATGTCACCGACAGTAGCCCCCGGCGTTATGCCAGGGCGATCGCCCTCCTCGAGGAAAACGCTCGGGCGTGACGCCACTCCTCAGGCCTGGTGACAGGTGGGACCGGTCTCTACAGGCGGACAGGAATCCAGTGGTCGCAAATCGCGCGCATCGGCAAGGGAAAAACCGACCGACAATAATGAGCGGCTTTCTTCAAGACCGCTACATTACTTGAGTAGCGCGCGAATTGGGACGAGCCGGTTCGTTTCGCCTGGAGATGTGATGATGGTGCATCGGTCGGCGAGCGTAGTTAACGCGCGCATGATATGTCCCATCTCGACTGCCACGGCCGCACATCCGCCTCGTGCGCCGCAAACGGGCGAGCAGGATTAATGGAGGAGTGGGCGCGAGAAACGAGGGGGCGAGATAGTGGGCGCGGGAAGCGAGGAGCCGGGCATAGCGTTTGGCAAGGGTATAAAGACGCCGAGGAAGAGATTCGTTTCCTTCCTCTCGCCATTATTCCCCTTGCCTTCGCCGCTTGCGCTCTAACTTCTCGTTTCCTGTGCCCTACCCTCGCCGCACTCACTCGCTCTCAAACCCCTCCTCCGCCGGCGTTATGGCACGGGGCTCCGCACCGCTCGACGGTAGCGTGCTGCCGCCTTCTCGCATCGTGAGCGAGAGGCAGGCCGGGCTGCCGCGCCGATTCATGCCGGAATCTGCCACCGGCCGGGAGGTGGTTGCGCTGGGTGAGGGACGCCCGGCGCCACACTACCCGGGGCGGTCCGTATTCTTCCTTCCCTTCGCAATGGCAGGGCTGGTCCCGTCATTCTCTTCTTTCTTCATGGATGTTCTGGAGCTTTATGATCTCCAGATGGCGCACCTCACCCCCAACGCAGTAATGACGTTGGCCATCTTCGCGCACCTGTGCGAGATGTTCATCGGGGTGCGCCCATCTCTCCGGTTGTTCCGGTGGTTCTTCACCGTACAGCCGGTGTCGCCACCGTCGGTAGTCGGTGGCTGCTACTTCCAGCCGCGGGGGCCGGTGCTGAACCGCTACATTCCCTGCGTCCTTCGCAAGAAGTGGGATGACTGGAAGAGTGACTGGTTCTACACCCCTCTCGCCGACGAAGCGCGCCTCCGACTTCCGAGCCAGCCCCCGGCGCAGGCCTCCAGCTGGCGGGCGCCGGTAGATCTGGGAGACGGCTACGACGCCGTTCTTGACCGCCTGGCTGGTTTGCGGTCCCAGGGGCTCACGGGGGCCATGGTGTTCGGCGACTACCTTCGTCGCCGGATCGCGCCGCTCCAGCGGCACGCCCGGGGCGCCTGGGAGTACACCGGGCCCGAGGACATCATGAGGACCCACCAGTGGCGCAAATGGGACTGGGACCCTGAGGACTTCAGAATAGTGGTCCAACGGGTGCTGAATCTCAGCTCCGTGGAGGCATCCTTCATCTCTCAAGGGGTCCTTCCCCTCTCCTGCGATCCAGAGCGCGCCAACATCCTGACCATCATGCAGGAGGTCGGGGCGTCGGGGGAGCGGGCCCCCCGAGGCCACGATGGCGCGGGCGGGAGCCGCAGGGGGGAACAATCTACCCCGGGAGGGGGTCGTGCTTCTGGGCCCCGTGACGGGGGCCCGGGGGGCAGCCGCCCTACCGACGCCCGGGGGAAGAGGAAACAGGAGGATACCCCCTCCCCATCTCCTCCCCGAGGGGG